CTCATATAATTCAGTTTAAATCGAGTATGGCCAACTTTTTTGAGATATTTCTTAAATATCGATGTGGTTATGGAAGATTTAATAATGAAACCGAAAAGGGATATATAGAAGTTTGTCCTAGAACTTGATTTGAAACAACCAGAAAAAGGATTCGCTTCTTAGAAAATTTAGCAATATCAAAATCAAACACAGAGGACAATGCAAGCAGAAATGTCAAAAGATAAAACAGACATATCTTAAAGCGAAGAAGGTTGACAACCGCCCATATCTATAATGGATGAGCTTCGTCCGCGTCAGTCCGGTAAACGAGATCGCATAATCGCAGTCGCATACATAACTAAGCGCGGACAATCGCTGCTTATTCATTAATCTAATGCGGTAGCGCATTGAGGGAAAGTTTAAGAGGAGAGAGGACATGACTTGACGACTGATGAAAAGCAAAAACTATTTAAGAAGCTTTCAAAGGAAACATACAAAACAAACATAGATTAAGAACCAATTTAACTTTTTCCATTTAAGAATTAGCTAATATTAATATTTAAGTAGCACAACTGCCCTAATGGATTTAAAGACGGCATTGGGGAATCGGGTCGCGTTCGTTCCACGAATAAATTTCAATTAGAGCAATCAGGGCGGGCGGTCGCGGAAGCTACTCCTCGAGCGGGATAGTGCGCACCTCGCATACGAATCGTCAACTCCCGCGCATACAAAGGAGGACCCCCGCAAATCATTTCCATGCCACAAAGTCAGATGTGAGCGGAATCCACCTCTTTGATCTTAGCTAGATAATGATGTTAGCCTGCCACCGCTAAGGATATGAGACAGTTACTCCGCAGAGGTCAGTTTGCGCACCGAAGAATGGATGGCATGTCAAATTGTTCGAATGAAGCACAATGTAAGCGCCGCATAATTCCCGCGCAAGATATGGACCGGCCACCGCGAGATGCATTGGCGCACGCCAATTTGTAACCGCCGACATAAACTGCGGATGTAACGAAGCCCCTAAACAACGAAATAAGCAAGCGGATCAGCCATCGACTCTCGCGAAATATCTCACCGGCTGACGGCCGACAACACAAGAAGCTAACTCGGACTTTACATTCGCCGACGTAACGAGGGAAGCCGCCCATTGTATTTATGCCTTAAACACGATTTATTTATTCGGCGGACATACACAAAATCTTGTCCATAAATACATGTGAAAGCACATATCAAGTATCGGAATGCAAACGGGGCTCGTGGTTGAATTATGCAACAGAGCGGCGCGGGCGCAGCGCCTGCCGTAATAGTGCACGGAGTGGCCGCAACAACGCCTAAAATAATACCGACAGATCCCAGCTCGAAATAACGCCAATACCGCAATTCCCCCGCTGACAGATGCATGATCGTTTGTAACGTTAAAGCTCATTTTGTTATTTTTCTACTTGATGAAGGCGCACTCACTCAAAATTTAGAAACTTTACACTAACATGTGTTTCCTTAGGTGTATTAAATGAAGATAAACGTAACCCAGACTGGTGGATAATTGATTTTTTGACGGTTTTGCTCTCAATTAATACTCTGATCCATTACGGTACGACGATGGCGTGAGCCTTATTTATGACGGCCGCTACTCTTGGAAATTTCACCAAATTGAGATTGTTCCTCCTGAGGCCGTGGCGACGGATCTCTTCATTTGTCCGCGCGTAAGAGACACGGCAAAGGCGGTTTGCGAATATTGCCCTTATATCGGATTAACGGTGGGTCCATCCATCTTTCGTGTGGGTGGTCGTCGGTACGGTTAATTACAGGGGAGAACCGATCATTTAATGTGAATTTCGCAAACATTAAATAATTTAAAAAAAGATCGAATCGGCGGTGCGTTCACGCGCGGAATAATAAATTAATGATCGCACCAACCGTGACTCTTTGGCACTGCGGTCGTCCAAACAGTGTTTTATGAAACCGTCTCGAAACCAATCCAAATACAAAAACGAGATTACAAAACAACACAAGAAACTAGAACAATAGCCAAGAACAGCGTTCATTAGGGGCAGATCTTAGACGCGGCGAGGAGTCCGCTAGATAATCTTGTAATCCTTAAACCACACGCAGTGACGATTACAACGCACCTATTAGTCAAATTAGCTTTATTGTTAGGGGTTGCTTAAGACGCGGCGATCGGCTTACACGCTGACAATTATGTGAGCACATGCGGCTAACGCACAATGCAATGACTCAGCAAAATTGCAGCCGAGCGTTTATCAAAACAATAGTATTGATAAGTTAATAAACCGAGGCGCGCAGCGACTAACGAGCGATTACCGCTGTTGAGAATAGACGCACGCGTCACATGCGAGCAGAATACGTTATGGATGCCGTGACTCACCGCCTATTGGAAAGGCGGGCCTAAGCCTGATTGTCGACTAAAAAAGACGAGGAATTTACGACTTGTGTTGACAACTTCTATAGTGTCGACAGTTCTTTTTTGAACCATGAGATTTTCCCCAGAGATCACGCGTACGTGCTTTGAAAGATAACGAGAATATTTGCGGAGTAATCCTTGTAAGAAACTAGTGCATACTGAAAGCGAAATCTTTGAATTCTAGTGTTACGAAACGCGTTATGAAGAACCGATGAGGGAATCGCTCGAAGCGAGGGCACTGACCGACTTACACATTTATACCGCTAATTCATGCACAAGAGCATCTGCATCATACGAGCGCGTACAAATCAGCCAAACGCCAGACCACCGCCACTAATACAGTTTAAATTCACGCAACAGACACGCCAGACAACGAGCATTATACGCTTCGAATACGTAAATTTAAAATTATATTTATATATGCCGAGTTTACGGCGATGACATGTGAAATTGTTCCTAGAGAATAAGCGAAAAATGCCGCCTTTGAATGTAAAGAGCTAAATGAGAGCAACGGTATTGTATGTTCCGGAGTCACGAACAGATGTAAAGCAATAAAGCACGAAACATCGGAGTTACAACTCGTGGCCAGCTGTCATAAGATGTAGTTATCGCCCGAAATCGAAATTATCGCGTGAATATTTTAATCCGATCGACTTATCGATGGTGCGTACATGAACAATAAAGATCTACATCGCCGTCAATGTGTTATTTCCGTACGTCAAATGCGGACGGGTGAGAACGACCCACCTGAGGACGAGAGATTTTATCGGTGCGAACGCGAAACGAAAGAATCGACGTAATCGATTTCAACATATCAAAGCTGACAAGCGATATTCGAGGTCGGGGGCGACGCAGTGGGCGCCGGATGGATTCGAAATTAAAACGATATGCAAATGAGGAGCGAGAATTAATCGTCAGTTGCAATCGATGCGACGGCAGCGAGAGCAGCTACTGGGTACAAATCGATGAATAAATAGTGTCCGATTAGCGGCGCAAGGTGCGCTTGAGCTAATGGATGAATCGAATGGAATCTGCGGGGCTGAATGAATCGACGCGGTCGTATTTGGCGGAGCTTGATCAGCACTTTTCATTAAGTGTTTGCGTGAACGCGATGATGGTGCTAGAGACAGTAATTAATTTGAAATTGGATTTGTGTCTTAAATTAAGTCGGAGCGATGGCGTTTATGAGTTGGATGTGAAAGCTCCCGCGTTACCCGTTCACTTTTCCTAGAGTCGGTGTCGAGTTTGACAGGAGAATTTATAATGATCGCTCTCCGTACCTCCGAAAGTAATTTTTAATTAAGTTTCTTGATAATCCGGATCACAGAGTCGAGGTCTAAGTCCCGAGGCGTCGCCCTCCCTTGATAATTGGAAACTGTCCCTATTTACAAATAACACCTGCTACTTTGTTGACCTTCTGCATCACTCGAGATTTTAATGGAATTCTCCACACTATACAAAGATATTCTTTGGCTGTAAATTAAAATACGTTTGCAAGTGGTGTAATAGAGCGATCTATTCAAAAGACTTCCTGGCAATTTGGATCATTACCGAGATTATTAAATCTTGTTTGTTATGTATCGGTTCCTTTTCAAGAATGAAAGGCCGATTCATTCATCATAATGATTCAATGATCGCAGTGCTCCCGCGTCGGAAGCGTTACTCTAAACCGGCAAACCGGTTGCTAGCGTTAATTATAAACCGATTTTAAATCTGATTATTTCGCTACCGAACAGTCTATCAGTTTCGACACGGTTCGCACAAAGATCATCAATTATATTGATAGGATTTTAGATAGATGATTAATTAAACTGCTGTGATTAAATCGATTCCAGGTTTTAATCGTTTAGAAACAGGAAAACGATACCGACTTGTTTATTTAATTTCGTTTGCTTGTCGCATTTTTAAACGAAAACAAAGTAATGCGTACTAAAAAATATAAGTACGTACTTATCATCCTGTGGTCAAGAGTCTCGCCACGGACATGCTTTAATGCTGCGAATTATGCAAGAATTTTAACGATTTTCACAAAATACGAATATGATTAACATTTCCCGTACAGAAGCGCGAAATTCTCGCAGATAATAATTCATTTTATGCGTCGTCGGCGCGTCGTATCTTCCCAGATCTGAATGGACCTGTCAATTACCACTCGCAATCGGTTGTTGCAACGCTTATCATTACCACTCCTCCACAACAGTACAGAAAAGAAATTGCATCACACAAACTCAGATCCTCGACAGCCTTTAAACTGTGCATAAAATACTCTCCTTTGTACAAAATATATTAACAAAATAGTTTAATGCTCGCATATTAATCTCCTTAACTAATAAATTAAGCCTAGAACGTGACTATTTCGATAATCCAGTCGAAATCTCCTGATACCAGATTACTCTAATGAGAACTACCGTTGAGGATGATGGGACATGTGGGGGTGCGAGAGGTGCGCATGGGAGTACGGTTGTCCTAACGAGCCTAGGGGGAGCGGTGAAGGGCAGGGAGGATGCTGGTGATACTGCTGTAGCGGCGAGGGGGCTAACCCCGGGTGGTGTTCTATAGGGTACTGCGCTGACCCCGCGTATGCTAGTTGCCTCACCTTCATGTCGTCGTCTACAATGTTATACGTCAGCTCGGTCTCCTCGTAGCCGGTGGCCGCCATCCGCTGCTCGCTTGTGGTGGGCGGATCGGGAGAGTTCAGACACGTCTGAATCAATCTCTTCCCTGAATCCGATGTGATCATCGGCTGAAGTTTCCGCGTCGCAAATGTGTACACGTGTCCCGTTTCCGACGCGACTAGTAGCATCACTTGAGTACCCGTCAAGGTCGATAACTCGTAAGCCTGCAAAAGAAAAATCAAATCAGATACATGTGTTCCTTAATGTAAACAACCATTGCGATATGCAGGTCGCTGAATTCCTGTGAACATTTGCGAGCGACGTTAAACGGTATTAAAATTGTTTAATTACAAAATTACATCATCTTTCGGCATCCAAATTATTTGTGGTCCGTGAGGTCGAACCTTTCGAAACTGTAAGGCTCTTAAAACATGAGGTAACGTAAACAGTTTCGGGACCGGGACTTCAAAAGACTCCCTCTGGCCTTTGAACTCTCCCACGCTAATTCGTGGGCAAACGGTCGGAGCTGCGTTTTGGGAGCAGTATCACTCTCACGGCACTATTTGGTTGTATGCCGGAGGAATTATCACACCCACTGGCGCCACCTACACTCACAAAGTTATGTTTACCGACGACACGTTCAAAATTGAAATCAAGTTCGTTGACGACATCGTGATAAAAGGTTAAGGTTGACATTTAAAGAAATAATGTTGTACTTGGTTGTTACTTGTCGATTTTACTAAATGCAAAGTACACGGTGAGTGTAGACGCATAAGTGAGTGTTTACGTGCTTTTTGCTTTACGTAACGTGTGCATAAATTCACCCACTCACTGTTACGCGGTCTTGTAGACCAGGTAATTTATTATTCAACACATTTTGAATGGTTCTACAATTCAATTTAATGTTTTAAGTGTCGTAATTTATGTAATTGTGAATGAGTAAATTATGGGTTCTTAACATGATTTTATTATTTATATTATATTGCTACATAATGGACTCATTATAATATAATATAAAAATTAATTCGCAATGCAATTTAAATGCCGTAATGGCCTAATGGTTTCAAAGCCTATCAAAGCAGAGGGTCGTGGGTATTGAATCCCACTTCGCACCTTTCAGTTTCTCTAAATTTATATGCGTAATTTTGATTTGAAATTTACAATGACCTTTTCGATGAAGAAAAATTTCAGTGATGTAACCTGCACGTCGAAAGTTTACAACACAACAAAGTCCCCAGTCCTACACCCTCGCCTGATGGGAGACCCATGCCCAGCAGTGGGACGTATAAATGGGTAGATGATAATGATGATGAACGCTAAATGTAATCTTACTTTACTATTCGGAGTCAGAAGAGGTTCTGTACGTGCACCAGAGGCAGGCAATAGCCTTTTGACAACCGGATGAAGACTACTGTCTTGCAGAGGTTATAGTGCCTTTCTTGTATACCCAAATTTTACTATAAATACTATACAACTTGGGCTTGACGTTATGCATAAAGCGCTTCCCCGTAAAAAAGGGTCACTGTAATCAAAACTTATATGGAAAGGAACAAGGCTGTTCGGACTTAAACGTCGTGTAAAAAAACAATTATTAAAAAAAGATTCGATTTCATGAAATAAATCAGTTACAAAATGAACTGTATCTTTTTTTCGCAGCACCGATTCAATTTTCTGGCAGAACGCCTCATGTGTCAAGTATGAAATGCGAAGAGTTCGGGGGTCAGGGGTCACTGAGCCTCATCCGACGGATATGCCAGTATGATCATAACAAGCGGAGATTTTGAAGATAATAAATACAGTCTCCACAGTGTTTTGATTTTATGAAAAATGCTTCAGCACGCGTTCAAACTGCTTTACGTATTTAAGTTCCTTGTAATAAATATGCAAAATTGCATCGAAAATATTACACATAATTAGTTGAAAAAAGGCCAGATGCAAAGAGCCTTTAATCAACGAGCGTGTATGAAAGCATTGATGGGTGATGATGAGGAGAAAGATGTTTGTCAGGAATGTCGACGTTGGAAGAACGAGGAATTTATGTAATTTCGTTAAGTTCATTCATTTGATCAAACACGAATACGTCGTTACAAGAAATTTTATACGTCACTTTAATAGATATGATTTGTAGACAATTAATTCCCTCTATTTAGTACCATCATTACATAAAATGAGTAATGAAGGTATGTAATTAGCCCCTGTAGTCTTTGCACGAAAACCAACAAATTTATTTTCTGCTTAACCACAGGAAATGCAAGCTTATATTGATTATTAATAAGAATTACAAGGTAAGTAAAGTTAAAATTGCGGTAGTGAGCGAAAAATGTGCCGAAATTTCGAAATTGACAATTACAAATGTACCTTTAATGAGGTTTGTTGTTAAAGATGATTAACGGTTTTCGAAAACCGAACGTCCTTAAGGGTAATAAAAAAAAGAAATGGAGGAACATCATTGGCTCATTACGGCATTAAAATGGCCGCCAAATATAGAAGTGTTGATCGAAAGATGTTTCACAGCTTTCTTTAACCCCTTTCAGGAAGGTTGAGAATTTAATTAATTATTGTAATTATTGTTCTGTACTATTTATGGCTTGAGTTTCTTTTGAAAACGTCCTAGATGTTATGATATCTGTACGTTTGAAACCATGGCAAAAAGAACTAGAATTACTTTCAAAACTTGAAGAATATTTAGGTTGCTAAAAAGCTACCAATACTACATGGTTGTTATGATTAAACGGCATTTTGCTTTGGAGTAATACCGCTAACATTAATAGGATCTCTGTCCTGCAAAAGTATTAGGGCACTTTGTAAGGCAAGCCCCAGACTGTCTCTGAGGGGTAATTAATTTTAAAGAAATTAACATTCTCACCCGAGCGTTATGAAAATCTAATTTATGCATGTTAAGAAGAATAGAATTTTTAAATGGAAAATTGCGTTAGACATAACATTATTAAGAGGAATAAAAACTACTATACTGGTACTCTAGACAACCATTTTCACAAAATAACAAATTAATTTAAGGAAAAAAAGGAAAAGGTATACGCTTTTTTTTAATATCAAGTGACGAGTCCCATGTGCCTATAATTTCACCAGCACATTTCCAGCACCGCTTAACCTTCAAAACCGGAACGCAATAATGCGACATTACTGCTTGGCGGCAGATATAGATAAGTCCCTGGACGAACTTTTAACTGCCTCCAAGGCCGAACGGTTACCATGACTGCCACGCAGAGACCCCAGGTTCGATTCCCGAGCTGAAAGAAATATTTGTGGTTGTCTATGTGTGTGTCCATGGCACAAGCGACACAGGGTTTCCCTAGTGTGGGGCTATTTTGAATGTGTGCGTTATTATATATAAAAAACTCTTACAAAAAACTCTACTGCTACTAAATAAGATTCCGGCTTCTGTAATAAGTTTCCGGTTGATATTCAAAATTTGCCATTTACGAGGTTTAAAACTATAGTGAAACCAATCTTTACACTTCTAAAAGTCCTAATTACACAGCTTCTGCATACTTAGATGATGTACTCTTGCAGATCGTCGAATCATTGTAAATAATAAATGTATATAAAATATGTTTATTTAGAAATAGTGACTCCTAGAGTTTGCTATTTTCTCATTCTCAGGGGAGTCTGCCATACGAGTGAGCAGTTCAGTTTAATCAATATGATGGTTCTAAGAGTATGTAATTTAACGTTAAGACTAATAAGTACAACTGTAAAAGTTTATTAGACTGCTTCTGCGTAATTGGATGAAAAAAATCCATTGGAGTGATACTTTGAAATTTTTTGGGTTGCATCTTAATCTTTTCGGATTCGACAAAAGTGCACTTGGCAAAGACAAACTGATCCTCCTAGAACCGGTTCTAGAAATCTACAACATAAAAATGTACCAAAAAAACAATTCATCCACTTCCAACCTAAAGACATTTTCTTGTAAAAAAAGCACGTTATTCAGTCTCAGAATTCATGCAGAATAGTGATCTCTAACAATATGATCTCGATGTATCAATAGCCTATATTTATATTTTAATATGTAATCCGAACATACATTTCAATGGCAGAAGTATAAACATTAGGTACAAACTAGTTTTAAGTCCAATTTACCCTACTAGGGTACATGTAATACTATTATTTACTTGTAACAACTGTATATACCGTGGTTGCAATTAACGATATTCTATTCTATGCGATTACGAAAATGACAACGTGAACAAACATCTATTTAAAAATACCTCCCCAAGAGTTTCTTACTCATTCATCTCGGGGAAACCTGCATTATGAATGAATCACAAAGTTTATTTTAACAATTTGACCCGTAATTTGCTTACGTATGGAATAAAGATAATTTCAATTTGAATCTGAATAAGTGGCGAGGGGATGTCAAAATAACAGTATAGGTAATATGGGCTTATCAAGCATAACTCGTCACCGCTCATCTACAGCATACACTAGCCCTAAAATGATAAAGTATATTAAGTGTTATTCTAGAAGAATGGGTAATAATGAAGTACCAGTAGCTCTTTGTCACCACTCGATACTACCTCAGTAAGAATTAAAAATTTTCCCGTACTATTAAGGCAGGGACACTGGCTTTATTTCAGAATTTTTTTACAGACGAAATTAACAGCATTTG